GAGGGAGCCGTTCAAACACCATCAAGTCCTGCTCCAGAGGGGACCACTGGAGCAGGAAGGTGGGTGCCTGATCCACCTCAGGCAAAAGTGTGGGGGAAATCAGCAGGGTGGCGCTGTGAAAAGGAGCAGTGCTGCTCACCTGATCCCCCCCCCCCCGCTGTCCCCTGAAAGCATGCCCAAGAGAAGACCCTTCTGCACCCAAGCAGGAGGGGCAAGAATCAGCTGGGTGGCATGGCTCAGATGATCCCCCACCCACCCTTCTTCCTCACTTCCACTTATAAGACAGGCATACCCAGTCCAGAGCCTTTCTTGCTAACCGCAGTAGCAAGGGGGGGGGGCACTCACTTCCCCTCTCTTGCAAGTGAGAAGTAGAATAGGGGGCTGATTTTTGCAACTCCTGCTAATGTGCATGGAGGCTTCCTCTCCGCCCCACGTGACAGTCTTGCAAAATGGCAGCTGTCAGTGGTTCTTTTGGGCTAGTCAACTGCTCCTGCCAAGCACCCCATCATGTTCTGGCCTTCATAACATGATGGGTTATTTCCCCCATGTTTGGATGACACAAAAAGTCCTAATGGCAGAGAGGATCCATATTTCTGTTCATGGTTTCTAAAGATTTAATGTACCATGAAATATCATGACAGGGTTTGGACATGACAGAAGACCAAAAATATTTTAAAAACCATTGTGGCTTGTCATGTCATGTGAATCTGTCCTACTCTCTATGTGATGAGTGTTCAGGGAAAAGTCCAGCTTTTAAACAGTGATGCTGTTTAGAGGAAGATTTCCAATTTAAAAAGTAGCCTCTTGATTTAAATGCTCATCCTGCAGGTAACCTGTTGACATGTAGTAAGTGCCATCTCATTTGTATAGTAATTTAATTCCACTGAAGTTGCTGAGACAGATGTTTATGTATATTTTAGGGTATTCTTTGTTGTCCAGAAATAAAGTCCAAATCCTGTGACCCCTAGACAGCATCTAGACAATCATAATATTGTTCAGATTCCCATTAACAGAGGATTGAAAATCATTCTGAGCCCAGAACTAGGGATCTGAAAAGAATCACACCAGCTATTTTTCTGAGGTTGCAAAACGCCAGAGAAAAGGTTTAGTGGGTATTCTGCGGGGGGGGGGGGGCAGGGAGAGGAGGAGAGCAGGCAGTGCCTCAGTTCCTTCCTTCCCCCTTCAAAGCACTGCAGGTAGACAGCAGAATCAGCAGCAGCATCAGAAGTACAGAGGCAACATTTGCCTCTATGCTTTTTTTTATCCTACATAGGATGCCCATATTCCTCCAAGTTCAAAGTGCTTCAGGCATCCCTGCAGGATGGCAACCCATTTAAAATACCTTTAAAGTGCTTTTCTTGTCATGTAAGCAATAGGATAGTTATAGTCAGTTAGCACAAACATTTAACAATTGCTACTCAATTACAAGACTAAATACAGCCAGTGGTAATTGAAACCTGTTGTGGAAACGCTCTATGAAAAATTATGCACCTTTGCTCATGCATCCAGACACTAAAATAAGCATTACAGCTGCTACAACACTTAGTCACGAATCCTTACGGGCATGAATGAATGACCTAGTTGTTATGATCCTTCTTACACTTCCTTTCTCCTCTTCCAAGAAAATCTACAATAACAATGTCAGGAGATAGGTCTGACAAAGTCCACATATTCAACCTGTATTAAAACATTTCCTCTAACTGCAATTCTGTAAAAGCATAAGAAAAGCCATGTTGGATCAGAACAGTGGTCTACCCAGTCCAGCATTCCATTCCCAAGGTTGCAAACCAGCTGCCCACATGAAGCCTCAAGCAGGGTGGGTACAAAAGTTTCCCCTGCCCAAAATTTCTCAGCAAACCACCTCCGATAACAGAGGAAGCACATAACCACCAGGGCTAGTAGCCACTGATTACCTTATCTCTCTGTTCAGAAATTCATAGCAATTCAGCCCAATTCAGGATTTCAGTGGGAGTTAGACTGCAGTCAGTATACATAGGACTAAAACCTTAAGGCATGATCCTATTAGGCAGAAAAAATCCCATAATATTGCTGGATGGGGAATACTGGGACTTCAGAATTTTGCCTAAATATGCATACCCTTAATATCTGCAAATTTGAGAGCAGCAGAGCATACCCTTCCCACAAATGGGAACCATGCTTTCTAAGGATTTGGTCAAAGGGACCTTGTCTGGGTTTGTTCTACCTGACAGATCACTATTAAGAACATAAGAAAAGCCAAGCTGAATCAGACCAAAGGTCCAGCTAGTCCAGCTTTCTGAAGACACCATGGCAAACCAGCTGCCTTCAGGATTCCTCACGCAGGATGGATGCAAGACCTCCACCTACCCAAGCTCCTCAGCAACTAGTGTATGCAGGCATGGCACCCCTTGTAAAGGAGGTAACATACAGCCAGTAATTCTAGTAGACACTGATAGCCTCTTCTTCCCTATTCTGTCCAATCCCCTTTTAATGTCGTCCAGATTGGTGCCCATTACAACTTCTCATGGCAGCAAATTCCATAGTTCAACTATACATAGCATGAAGAACTTCCTCTTGTCGGTCCTAAACCTTCCCTTAATCAGCTTCATGGGGTGACCCTTGGTTCAAGTGTTACAGGAGAGGGAGAAAAATGTCTTCCTCTCCATTTTTTACACTCAAAACACAATTTCAAACACTTTTATCACATCTCCCTTTGTTTTTTCTAACCTGAACAGTCCCAGTTACTGTTAGAGGCTGCTCCAGCCCCCTGTTCATTTTTGTTGTCCTTCTCTGTATTTTTTCCAATTCAGTAATGTTCCTTTTCAGGTAAGGCAATCAGAACCGGACATAATACAATACAGTAAGTGTGGACACAGCAAGGGTATGTACAAGGGGAGTACGATCTTGGCAGTTCTATTTTGTATTCTGTTCCTAATTGTGCCTAGCATGGAGTTTGCCGTTTTGACAGCACCTGTGCACTGGGCCAACATTTTCATCAAGCTGTACACAACTACCCCAAGATTCCTTTCTTGCTCAGTCACTGCTAGCTCAGATCCCATCAGTGTATACTTGTGTAATTGAGCTTTCTTGGTCCTGCATGCGTAACTTGTTATTTATGTTGAACTGCATTTGCCATTTTGATATCTATTTTCCCTGTCTGGTGAGAGCCTTTTACAGCTCTTCAGAATCTTGTATGGTTTTGACCATTCTAAATAGTTGTGTTATCAGCTGTTACCAGCAAACTTGGCCACTCCACTACTCATACCTAATCCCAGATCATTTATGAATAGGTTGAAAAGAATTGATCCTAATACAGAACCCTGTGGGACTCCACCGGCCATGTGTCTCTATTGGGATGTCGCCTTTTATTCCCACTCTTCATCTCCTGTTAACTAATTAGCAATCCATAAGAGGACTCCCCCCTACACACACAAATGCACTTTTATTCCATGACTATTTAGATTTTTCAGGAGCCTTTGGTGAGGGACTTTGTTGAAAGCCTTTTGGAAGTCCAAGTAAAGTGTCTATTGGGTCACCCCATCTACATGCTTATCAACACTTTCAAAGAACTACAATAGGCTAGTGAGACAAGACTTTCCCCTGCAGAAACCATGCTGACTATTCCTCACCATGGCTTGTCCCTCTGTGTGTATACTGAGTCTATCTTCGATGCTTTCAATCAATGATGCAGTTTACTCAGAAGCTAACTGGTCTGTAATTTCCCAGACTCTCTCTGGATCCCTCTCTAAAAATTGGTTTTACATTGGCCATTCTCCAATCCTATGGTACAAGGGCTGTTTAAAGAGACACTAAATATTTTGGTAAGATAAGCAATTTAATGTTTTAGATATTTAAAGACTCTAGGATGGATACTGTCTGAACTTGGGTAACTTGCTGACTTTCAGATTCTCAATAAGGTTTACTTCTTCCTTTGTCACTGCTATCTGCTTTAATTCCTCAGAGTCACTTCCAGACTACATAAACTCAGGGACTGATATGCTGCACATCCTCCACTGTGAATACATTCAGCTTCTCTGCAGTCTCCTCATCCCTCCTTAGTTTACCTTTAATTCCATTACTGTCCAATGGTCGAACTGCTTCTTCAGCTGCTTTCCTACTTTTGATATAGAGAACTTCAATGTTCTTATTAGCAAGATGCTCCTCAAACTGTTTCCTTGCTTCTCTCTGCTTGCATCCCCCTTGTGGTACTTTCTATTTTTTTCATTTGGGCAAAACTTCCATTTCTTGAAGGAAGCTTTTCTTCTCCCTAACAGCTTCTTAACCAAGGTTAACCAAGCTGGTGATTTCCTGGACTTTGTACTTCCTTTCCTCATTTGTAGTATGCATGTTATCTCTGCATCTATTTTAGTGTTTCCGAGTAATCGCTAAGCACTGTGAGGCAAGTTGATCTTCCCCTCCTCAGCTTTTGCTTAACCAGTTCCCTTAATTTTGGCAAGTTTGGGTTGCTTCCCAACACAAGGAAAGCCAGCTCCGACGAGGCCTACTGCAGCGCCCGTGGAGCGACTATTCTCCATTAGGGGGTGGGGGTAGATTAACAGCATTTTTTTCTTGAGCGGGCCCCAAATAGGGCTCTTCGAAGTCGTCCTTCCTACGGAACACGAGAGGAGGCCAATCTTCCCGTAGCGGCGTCCGCAATTGGAACGAGACCTCCAAAGATGGGAGGGGAAGGACTCGACCACCCGCTCCTAGAAATGTTTGCGACTTCGCCCTCCCTCCTTTTCCCCTCTTTCTCGCGCTCCCTCAAGAAAGGGGAGTGACGTCGCTGCCTCCCGGTCACGTGCCGCGCTATACGTCACGCCGCGCCCCACGCGCCAGCCCCACCGCCGGCCAATCACGCATCGGCGTAGAAGCTTGTCGGCCTATCCTCAGTAGCCTCTTGCTTTCGCCTAATGAAAAGGAGGCGGCGGCAAAGTGTGAAGATGCTGATGGGGAATTGAAGACGAACCTTCAGGCGCGGGCCAATATCTTCCGCCGCCAGAGGCGGGACTTCCGCCCTGAGCCGGAAGCGGGGCTCGTGGGTCTCCCTGGCGCTCTCTCCCTCATATGCGAGCGAATTGTTCCTGCTGCTTCTTGGCGTCGAGACGTTCCGGGGCCCGGACTCACCGCCGCCGCCGCCGCCGCCGCCTCCCGGCTCTCCGCGCCCTTCCCCTCCTTTCCCGCTTGCCGTTTCTTCCTTCTCCCCGCCGCCGCCACCGCCACTCCTCCCTCGCCTGGGCCCCGCTGCCGCCTCTTCCTCCCCCCGCCCCGCTCCGCTTTTGCTCTCTCACCCCCTTCCTGGGATTCGGCGGCGGCGGCGGCGGCGGCAGAGCAGAAGGAAGGCGGCGGCGACCAAGAGGTGGAGCAGCAGGCGCGGAGGATCCCTTCGGCTCTCGAGCGAGATTCCTCCCGGCCCGCCGGGGCCTTGCTGGCTGTTGGTTGACAGGTGAGTGAGGCCCGGTTCAGTTTCGCCGCCGCCGCTTCCTCCTGCTTTCTCGCCGCCGTCCCCGCCCCGAGTCGCCGCCATTTTCTCACCCGAGGCCGCTCATGGGGGGCGCCCGGTCGGCCGGGGCGGGGCTGGCAGCTGTAGCGAGCTGGTCCCTGGTTTGGCCTCCTTCTGCCGGGAGCTCCGCACTGCGTCTCCCCGGTGGCCCTGTCGGGGAGGGAAGCGTGGGGACTGCCGAGCCTGAGTTTCACGTGTTCCGTCGTCTCCTCTTTCCTTCCCCATCACCACTGTCACTCTCGGTAAAGGGGCGGGCGGGGGGAAGTCGTTTAGCAGCTCCGAGGCTAAGCGAAAGGGATGAAGGAGGTAGACCCCCGTCGCGGTGCCCTTGCTGTCGGCCTCGCGCCCCTCCCCGCCCCCTCGCCCAAAAACAGCCGAGGCTCGTTCGCACTTCTTTCTCTTTCTTTTTCTCACCGCCACCCGGCTTCTTGATGCGCATCCTTAAATAAAGTTAAGCTCTAAAGCAGAAATTGCTCAGATAAGTTGTTCGCATTCATGCCTCCTACAGTCGCACTCGGTCTAAAGATTTGTTAAAGAGGAAAGACTTGCCTCACTTTCTTAATCGTTTTTAAGCAAACTTAAAGCTGATGGGGACTTTAATCTGACAGTATCTATTAGCTGGAAGTGTGTAGTTGTTATAGCAGATTGCTTTAATGTATGTATATGAACTTCATTGTTTAGCTTTCCCTTGCCTTCAGTGTATTTGAAAACTTGATGTGACAGATCTTTGTGCTTTGTCCATTGGCTCATACAAACACCAGCTTAGAGTGTTTGCTTCTGAACTCCAAAAACTAAGAACAACTTCATAAAGGAGGTAGAATATCTGTGCCATAGTGATTTACCAGGAAAGGATACTTGTGGGCCCTCTGTGTAATGAAGTGGGTGATGTTTTTTGTCTACATGTATTCCAGGGTTGTCATCCAGACTTGAATAAAACATGTTTTGTAACACCACATTTGATGATACTCCATACTTGTCTGTTCCTGTTAACTTTTATCACTGTATGTGCAACCTGTTCACATTTATGCAGCTGAAGCTACCATTCGTACATACAATTTCTATAATAATGCAGCTTTTTGATAACCACTCTAAATAGGTTTCCTATTAGTTTCCCCAGTTTCATTTCTTGTTCAGGCTTCCTGAGTTAGCCAGTTGATTTTATCAGTTTATTTATATTTATTTATATTGTGATTTATATCCTGCCTTTTTCCTACAAAGGACACAAGGCAGCTTACATCATTCTCCTCCTCCATCTTACCCCCACAACAACAACCCTGTGAGGTAGGTTGGGCTGAGAGTCTGTGACTGGCCCAAAGTCACCCAGTTGGCTCCATGGCCGAGCGGGGACTAGAACCCAGATCCTCTGAGTCCCAGCCCCATGCTCTTAACCACTACACCATCTTAATTTTTAAAACCAAACTCTGGATTTAAGGTAGTATGCCAGTGGCCTTCTGTTGGCAATAGCAGAATCACTGAATCAATATACAGATATCTAACCAACAGATTATTTTTTCCACCAAGTTGGGAGTCTGGCTGTGTTTATGGATTTACTAATAGATTAATTTGTTAAAATTCTTATTTTTTGGAAGCTCAATATATGAGCCATGGGTATGAGAGTATCAGTATGCTGGATGAGGCCCATAGAGAGCAAGCTAGATGGTTTACTTTTAGGTAAAGGTCCTCTGGTTCAGCTTTCACCAGTAAAAAGCTCCATCAGCCTTCTTTTTCCAGTAAAGCTGCTAGTGTATAAGTTCTCTGTGGAAAAGATGGAGATGAAGACTGAAGTCTATATAGGATATGTATGTGTCTTGGACTGCTTTTGCTCACCTTCATGAAAAGGCCTTTGGTTCACATTTTGTCTTAAGTGTGTTAATAGAAATTCATGTCACGTCCTTCTATTATATTACATTTATATCCCCCTTTTTTCTTCTTGTGGGAATCTAGAGTGGTACCCAGTCCAACATTCACAACAACCACACCATGCTAATAGCTCACTTCTTTCACTCTTGGCTCATATTTGATATTTTCTCCAAACTTCTCCATTGAATTTATTGACTTTCTGAGTATCTTTGCCAAGAAAATACATAGAATTTTAGGTAGCAGAAAATCGGGTAATTTTTCTTAAAACCTCTTTAAAGTCATGTGGGACTTGATATTGGACATTGGGCACTGACTTATATTTCTCAGCAGTGAACACCTAACCATTTTTTGTGTTATATATACAACCTCATATATAAAAAGATTAAACTAAGGAGTTGGATCCCCTTTATTATATGTCTTCTATATATAATCATAGTTAGTTCTTCATACTGTTTGTTTTATTTGATACAGTTGTATTTGTTCTGGGTGATAGCCGCTTTGGTCTTCCTTTTGGAGGGGAAAGGGTTATACAAAGAGATGGTGGTGATGCAGTTAGCATGGTCAGTGGTAAGGGATTAAGGGACTTGTATCTGGAGGGAACCAGGTTGCCTACTGTTGCATTGAATGATTCTATTTATCTTCAGGGTGCCCCAAGATATACTTCATTGATTTGGCTGCTGGGAGTGGTTATAGTTGGTCACATTCTATATAGTGATTTCCTGTTTGCTTTGTCTTCTACTGTCACTATCTGACTAAATTTGAATTCTGTCAATATGAAATGGTGTATGTTCATGAAAATTAATCATCGCTATTGGTTTCAGTAGTGCTTTTTGTTTGGTGCATCTATAAACACAATGTATAGTCTGTTAGTTTGTCTGCCACTGTGTGTCTGCTTGTAGTTCAGTCACTGCACATGTCAAAGGATTGAATTGGCATGATTTTACAAACTTTTAGCCAAATAATCTAAGTAGCTCTAGGTTAGACAGAGTTATTGCACCTGTCTAATCAAAGATTAGTAAGGTGTCTTGGTTATATCCATGTTTATATAGGGTAGAAAGTGGAGAAATACATAGTTAATGCTTATTTAGTATTGTACAACAGCAGTGGCTTGGGCCTGGATTTCAGAATCCTTAATTCAAGACCTGCCTCTACTATAGCATCTTTTGCCAGAGGTCACTTCAACATCCTGTTTCCTATTTGTAGAGTAGGAAACCAAAAACATGCTTGCTCTCACAACAACGCTTAAGAGACATATCAAATCATTGAAAACATACAGCATTTATATATTACCTTCTATGCTTACCATTTGTATGGAGTTATATATTAAAATTCCCCTTTTCTCATTTTTATTTCTCAAGATAGTTGCTAAGAAGGAGATTTAAGATTCTCTCTGAACTGACAATACGGAACTGTAGCCTTGAAGCATTAAAAAGGCTATATGTCTATAGCCTATATGTCCAGGTGCAAATGGCCATGCTGAACAGAATATCAGTTTTTATATGATCAAGAGACTAAGCATATTCATTTTTAATAGAAATATTCAGAGACTAGAAGTATTTTATACTTGCAGTGCTGCCTAGAGACTGAAAACTGCACTTGCAACACTGCTATATGTAAAAATCCCTATAGTCTTTTTCTCCGGTTGAGGGATACTATTAGTTACTGTCGTGTGAATTAGTCCCCCTGCACCCGGAATCATTAATTCTGAGCTACCAGAGAGGTATGTCTTGAGGTGCAAAACATTAAGTCAGTTCTTGGTGGGTGGCACTAAACTAAGGGATGTAGCCTAATATTTATTTTAGAATAATTGCTGCTTTTGCTAGTGTTTCTGCAATTAAACTTTTGGTTAATAATACTGTTAAAAAGCAATAATATTTTATGGTGCTGACTCAAAGTTATTACAGATCATATGATTGTAAATAGCTTCTTAGACCTTGATGCCAAATTACAGCTGGGATACAGATTATTTGGGATGTATGGCAGAAGATAAACTAATGAATAATTCCTGCTTTGATGCTGCTGAACCATTAATTGCATTCAGTGAAGTCTAAACAACTGAGATTGTATTCTTATTTCTATACTTTTCCTGGAAGTCTGATTTTGTGTAGCTGAATCAGAAGCACTGTGGGTTACTTCCTATTTAAGTGGATGAGATCAACTACATCCCCTTTCTCTGTAGTTTGCCTAAACTGGGCAATAGTAGTTCTAACAGAAGCCATCCTTTTTAAGGCAGTAATAGTATGTTTGCTTCAGGCTGTATTAAAAATGGCAAGGAAATAAAAGGATTCTATTAGCATTTTAGGGAGAAAATTCTACAGGGGTCCCTAGCTTAGCGCATGTGGCGTCTTGGCACCTATGGAGACTTGCAACAGTGCATATAAAACTCACAATTCCTCAAAAATTTCTTAATTTCAAAAACTTGAGACCAATTAGAACACCAGAGCATTGATCAGATGTTCTCCAGGCAGCAAGAGAAGAAAGGAGGTGCATCCTGCCTCTAGACAGTCTTCTTCCACCCACACAGATTTTCCCCTTTGTTCTCTGTTCTCTCTGTCCTCAGTCTCTATCATCGCTGTTTCTCTCCCCCAGCCCCTTTCTTCCTTATTTCTTTCCCTTCTGCAACTTTAGCTACCCTAGCATGTAACTCTCCTCTTTCTTTCCCACACAACTGTTTGCCTCACTGTTTCACTCTCCCTCCCAGCCTCTAGCCTTAGCATTTCTGTCCCAGCAGTTCTTTCGCCTAGCCAGGCCTTCACTAGCCACATTTTCCATGTGAGCTATGTCCAAATGTTTCTGTGGATCCGGAAAATTTGGAAACCCCTGGTTTCTAGCAAAACCTGGTAAATAAGAAAATCTTTTTCTAGGTCTCAAAAAAATAAGCATTGTGAAATCGCAAACTAAACATAAATAAGCAGTACTGTTATCAAATATCGTCTAGACTCCAAGGTGCTTCTGGAGCTCACTCAATTCTCTGTTCTACTAATACAGTGGAATTTTGATTCACATCCCATATTAAAAATGTGTTTTCAAGCTTCCATGTAGCATTTTGTGTATGCTTTGTGATAATTGTAGAAAAAATCCAT